CTGGCCAGGCACCCCAGTGGGGACCCCCACCCTGAAGGGGGTGTGGCCAGCCTGAAAACAGCCATCAGTCCCTCATCCATGCTAGCCCAGCACCCCAGTGGGGACCCCCACAGTGAAGGGGTTGTGGCCAGCCTGCAAACAGCCATCAGCCCCTCACCCAGGCTGGCCAGGCACCCCAGGGGGGACCCCTAATCTGAAGGGGCTGTAGTCAGCCTACAAACCGCCATCAGGCCCTCACCAAGGCTGGCCAGGCACTCCAGCGGGGACCTCCACCCTGAAGGGGCTGTGGACAGCCTGAAAACGGCCCTCAGCCCTTCACCCAGGCTGGCCAGGCACCCCAGTGGGAACCGCCACGGTGAAAGGGCTGTGGCCAACCTGCAAACAGCCATTAGCCCCTCACCCAGGCTAGCCATACCCTCATGGTGTGAGGGTCCCCACTGGGGGCCTTGGCCACCCTGCAAACAGCCATCAGCCCCTCACCCATACTGGCTAGGCACCCCAGCAGGACCCCCACCCTGAAGGGGCTGTGGCCAGCCTGAAAACGGCCCTCAGCCCCTCACCCAGGATGGACATGCACCCCAGTGGGGACCCCCACAGTGAAGGGGCTGTGGCCAGCTTGCAAACAGCCATCAGCCCCTCACCCAGGCTGGCCAGGCACCCCAGTGGGGACCCCCACACTGAAGGGGCTGTGGCCAGCCTGCAAGCAGCCATCAGCCACTCACCCAGGCTGGTCAGGCACTCCAGCGGGACCCTCACCCTGATCGGGACACCTTCAGGGCAAACCAGCCGGCCCCCACCCATGCACCTGGCCTCTATCCTATATAATAAAAGGGTAATATGCAAATTGACCCTAACAGTAGAACGACTGGGAATGACTGGTCACTATGACACACACTGACCACCAGGGGACAGACACTCAATGCAAGAGCTGCCCTCTGGTGGTCAGTGTGCTCCCACAAGGGGAGCTCTGCTCAGTTACAAGCCAGGCTGATGGCTGCCAGTACAGCGGTGGTGGTGGGAGCCTCTCCCGCCTCCTCAGTAACGCTAAGGATGTCCGACTGCAGCTTAGGCCTGCTCCCCGCTGGCAATTGGGCATCCTCCGAGGGCTTCCGGGCTGCCAGAGGGATGTCTGACTGCCAGCTTAGGCCCAATCCCCCTGGGGGAGCGGGCCTAACCCAGCAGGTGGTTATCCCTCGAGGGGTCCCAGAGTGCAAGAGGGCACAGGCCGGGCTGAGGGACCCCCCTCCCTCCGAGTGCACAAATTTTTGTCCCCCGGGCCTCTAGTATATAATATAAGAGATTTGTGTTGGTGACTTGTGGCCACTATAATAAATAAATATAATAAAAACCACTGGTTGAGGGCTTTCTTCTGGGTCACAGCTTTCTTGTATCCTCACATGGTGGTAGGGATAAGGGAATCTCTCTAGGGCCTCTTATATAAGGGCACTAATTATTCACGAGGGCTCCTCCCTCATGACTTAATGATATCCCAAAAGCCCCACCTCCTAATACCATCACATTGGGTGTTAGGATTTCAACATATGAATTTGGGGGGACACAGATATTCGATATATAGCAGTGTATAATCATGTAAGATGATGTAGTGTGGAAGCTTTGAACATGTGCACGGCATACATATGTGGTAGGTGGTGTCCATATTGCCGTGTATTTCTGTCAGTTGCTAAACACACTATTTGTTGTGTGGAGGTGTATGTGATAGGAATGACAAGAAGTGTGGCAGAGGATTGGTGGTTATATCTATGACAGGGAAATGACGCACGACCACAGATATCTTAGCAGTGGTTGTGTGGTTACTTTGGCCCCTGCACGTAGGTTTCCTTTTAACGTTTGCCTCCTCTTTCTGCAGGATCTGAGATGGGAAATGCCTGGGGGACTACTGCTACTTTGATTACTGCTGTTTGCTGTAGTGTACTACTAGTAGCAGTCATTGGACTGATTGTATGGAAAAGGTAAGGGGGATGCCAAAGCAAAGTTTAGCCCTGTGTTTTGGAATTGACTCTAGGAGTTCAGGGATCTTTGCCAGTGGATGATATTTGAGAGTTCTCAGGATCAATGCTGGGGGGAATCTGAGTGTGTGGTGTGTGGCTTTTGCTGATGTTGTGTCAGGGAAGAACTATCTCATTAGATCCCTATGTGGTAGCTTGGGACTCTGGGGAGATGCACTGTAAGGCCCCTGTACTTCTTCCTGACATACAGGTCTCACTGTGAACCAGGCCTTACTGTACTAGTTCAGACCAGGCCTTAGAACTGTGTATGGGCTGCATTGTTTTTCTCACACATAGAACCACAGCACAGAGAGGGGAATTCCTTCCCCGAGGTGCTCACATTTTGTTAACAGCCTAAAGGGATAGCTTACAACCAGATTTCACCATTAAATCAGGAATCTCTAGCCCTCATTGGTGTTTCCAAACTAAGACAGGTTTCCAAACATATTTATCCCTAACACCTGGTCCAAACTGCAAATAAAACAGCGCAAGGTAAAGAAGGCTAAGAGACCAGTGTAAAAATGTTATTAAATTGCCCTCATTTTTTGGGGGCGAGGGGGCGTCTTCCAAGGCAGAATCTGTGCAGTAGCTAATACATCTCATTAGAAATACTGGTATATGATCCTGGGGACTTTATAGAGCTGGTCTTACAAGTGGTTTTTAAAATTTATCTTTCTATTGAAGTTTTTAGGTCAATTATATATGTTGACTAAATTTACAAATAAATTTGTTTATTTAACTAAAAAAAAGAAATGCTTTTAGAAAATTAGAATAATCAATTAATCAAGAAAAAAGGCCGTTTATCTAAAGTTGGTCAACTGATTCATGGGACATTTTCTTCTTCTTTTTAAAAAAATATTTTTATTTCAGAGAGGAAGGGAGAGAGAGAAACATCAATGATGAGAGTACAACATTGATCGGCTGCCTCCCGCACGCTCTCCATTGGGAATCGAGCCCACAACCCAGGCATGTGCCCGTGACTGGAATTGAACCTGGGACCCTTCAGTCCTCAGGCCAGTGTTCTATGCACTGAGCCAAACCAGCTAGGATGGGACATTTTCTTCTGATTGGACTTAGGCCAATGCGAAAACTGGATATAAAGTGGTTTTCAAATGATTCTTGTGATATTTGTGAATGTTCTCATATTTCTTGCCCTCTTCTGGCTTCTGATATCCAGTACTGTCACTGTTAGCAGACATTTCACATTGAAAAAAGAGACTACTAAAGCCTTCATGATCATTCTGGATTCTGTCCTGGTTTGCAATGAAGGCACCCGGCCTCCAACCTTCCCTAATCTTTGTCCTTTGCCATGTAACTTTTCAGTGCCCTCCAATCATGGGCTGCCCCGTAACACTGGGGTCAACCTTGTGACTTGCATTGGCCAATAGAATGAGACAGAGTGAAAGAGGCCTTGTGTCTTTCCATTTGCTTTCTTTTGTGCTTCTGACATTAGTGAGAGGAGGACACTTCCAGGCTAGCCTGCGGGAAGATGAGAGACACTGAAGCCAGCGCTAGTTGCTCTAGAGGAGGCCAGTCTACAGTAAGACCTCACCTAATGTCATCTCTAGGTTCTGAAACTTTAAACAAAACGACGTATCATGAAGCTAATTTTACTATAGGTTAATTGATATAAACAAGAGTTAAGTTCCTATGGCATCTCATCAACATAATGGGAGGACATTGACCAAAACCATGTGTGTTTTGAGAACCAGCTATAGATTAGATGACAGCCATCCAGTTCCTAGACATGTGAACAAATATAGCTGAGATCATCACATCAACAGGGTCAACTCTCAAATGTGTGAGAAATAAATATTTATTTTTTAAAAGCCGCTATTTCAGACTGGCTTGTTATACAGCAAAATTGGTGAGGTACCTTCACATACACCTCCACAGGGTGTATCATTTGGCCTAATGATATCACTATAATAAAAGAGAAACATGCAAAAATGATACACCCTGTGGAGTATCACAGTACCTTCTGATTAACTGATACAGCTCCTCAGGAAGCTGAGTTTTGACTAAAAGGTGTGGTTGCTCTGGAGCTGTGCTGCTGAAAGTCTGCTGTGAAGTGTGCACCCAGGTAACATGTTCTACCTGTGCCAGCTCAGGAATCTGCTGCTATCTTCACCCCAAGGAGGCCCAGCCAGTGTCTGAACAAAGCAGGAGTCTTTGGAGCTCTCTGTTGGAGTGGCTGAGACTTTCTCAGAGTTGCACTATAGTATGAAACTCTTGCTTCCCAATCCTTTCTCCTTCCTCCCTTCACAGATACCAGATCTACATCATGATCTAAAGACTTTCCTCACCTACTTCTGTGCCCTCTTTCATAGGCACTACTCCCAATAACGCTCTTCTATTTCTAACACATCTAGAAAGCTGCTTCTCAGAAGATTCAAACTACTACCACAAGAAGAGATTGAAGAATTGTAACTTGGTGCTTTCACTAAGGTGCATTCATGATGTATTCAGATGGAGGAGCACTGGAAAACTGGCAGTTCTTACACAGTGACAGATAGCAGAAACCACAAGCTTTCTCAGAGAATGTGTAAGTAACTGACATTACTTTTCCTGATGACTGCCACAGCTTGCTCAAGAGCGGACTGTTCAAGCTGCCCTCCTGGATAGCCTCCGACCAATCATTTCTTTTCAAGAAAAGGAAAAAGCAACGATTCCCAAAGAAGATAGACAATTGGCCAGCAGGGATATAAAAAGGTGCTCAACATCATTAATCATCAGGGAAATGCAAATCAAAACAATGAGACATCACCTCACGCCTCTTGGAATGCCTACTATCAAAAAGACAAGAAATATAAAGTAGTGGCAAGGATGTGGTGAAAAGGGAAGACTTGGGTACTGTTGGTGGAATATAAATGGGTGCAGCCATTATAGAAAACAGTATGGAAGTTCCAAAAAAATTAAAAATGGAACTACCATATGCAGCAATTTTACTTCTGGGTATTTATCTGAAGGAAAGGAATATTCGAACTTGAAAAGTTATCTGTACCTCCATCTTCATTGCACCATTACTTGCAATAGCAAAGACATGGAATCAACCTAAGTGTCATCGATGGATGAGTGGATAAAGAAAATGTGATACACTCATACACACACAGTCATGCGCCACTTAACAAAGGGGATACATTCTGAGAAATATATTGTTAGGCAATTTCGTTGTTGTGTTAACATCATTGATTATACTTACACAAACCTAGATGGTATACTAGTAGCCCATTGCTCCTGAACAGTCAGGCTACACTAAAATCATAAAACAATATGAGACCAAATCAAGCAGAAGAGAAAATGATATCAAGAGATACAGTCAACAGGCCAGGCTGCTGCTAGTGTAACTCCACATACTGTTTTTCAGCAAACTTATTTTTTTAAAAAATATATTTCTTTATTGATTTCAGAGAGGAAAGGAGAAGGAGAGAGAGATAGAAACATCGATGATGAGAGAGAATCACTGATCGGCTGCCTCCTGCACCCCCCCCCCCCCCCACTGGGGATCAAGCCCGCAACCCAGGCATGTGCCCTTGGCCAGAATCGAACCCAGGACCCTTCAGTCCACAGGCCGACACTCTATCCACTGAGCCAAGCCAGCTAGGGCAGCAAACTTATTTTTATACATAGAAAGAGTGTTGTCCCATACACCAAAAGGGTTGTGGGTTCAATTTCTGGTCAGGGCACATACATAGGTTGCAGGTTTGATCCTTGGTTGGGGCAGGTACAGGAGGCAACCCATCAATATTTCTCTCCCACATCCATGTTTCTCTCTAAAATCAATAAAAACATATTCTCAGGTGAGGATTACAAAAATAGCAATAAAAGTATAGCATAATAAATACATGAGCCAGTAACAATCGTTTATTATCATTATCAAGTATTTTGTACTGTGCAATATTATATACACTTTTATATGACAGTAGTTTGTTTACACCAGCATCACCACACACCTGTGGATAATGCATTGTGCTACAATGTTAGGATGAATGACTCCCCAGATGATAGGAACTTTTTTAGCTCCACTATGAGCTTATGGGTCCACTGTTGTAGATGTGATCAGTCCATTGTTCCTCAAAACATCATAATGCATATTACTGTGCACACAATGGAATATTATTTAGGCATAAAAAAGAAGGAAATCTTGCAATTTGTGACAACATGATGGACCTTAAGAGCAGTATTTTAAGCTAAATAAGAGAAAGATATGTGTCATCTCACTTATATGTGAATCTAAAAAAGTACCCCCCCCCCCAAATGAGCTCATAGATACAGAGAACAGATTGGTGGTTGCTTGAGGTTGGGGACAAGAAGGGGGAGAAATGGGTGAGGGGATCAAAAGGTACAGACTTTGAGTTTTAAAATAAATAAGTCATGGGGATGTGATAGCACAGTGACTCAAGTTAATAATGCTGTATTGCGTATTTGAAAGTTGCTAAAAGTAAGTCTTAAAAGATCATCATAAAAATATTTGTAACTGTATGGTGATGAATTTAAATTAGACTTATTGTGGTGATTATTTTGCAATACATACAAATATCAAATTTTATCCTGTACACTTGAAACTCATATAATGTTATATGTCAATTATACCTCAATTAAAAAAAGGGGGGGGGGAGAGAAAGCAATACTGTATGCAGACTGTGACCAGTTTCCATTTCATATTCTATTTATGTTCAGTGAGTTCAATCTGTACATGCCAGTATATGAATAAAAATATTCCCCTTTATTTATGGCTGAGTTATTCTTTGCTAGAAAATAAGTGACTTATCCTCTATCTCATGATTAGTAAAGAGTGGAGCTTGGATTTTTAATCAATATACCATACTAGAGGCCCGGTGCACAGAATTCGTGCACTGTTAGGGGGTGTGGCCTGCGGGGATAGGCCCGCTGTGGGAGTGCCTCTCATCCCCTGGCTGTGGACCCACACTCTGAGCAGCTGCTCCCTGGTCGGGCATCTTCCATGGAGCCAGAGCACTTGCCTCTCCAGGGGACCAGGTTGGGCCGGGCCCAGGGACAATAGCACTGAGAGGCAGCGGAGTATGCCTCAGTCCTGCAGCAGCCACGAACCCGCCTCCAGGGACAACTCTGTGAGCCTGGCAGTGGCTCTGTGCGGCCTGCGGGTTTCTGGAGGAGGTGGCAGGGAGCAAGGAGGAGGAGCCTGGAGTGAGGAGGCAGTCGCAGCCCGGGTTCCTGCTGTCGGCCGTGGGTTCGCAGCCGGAGCAGCCGCTCATCCCCACCGGCGCTCCCACTGTGGTAGCACACTGACTACCAGGGGGCAGCTCCTGTGTTGAGCGTCTGCCCCCTGGTGGTCAGTGTGTGTCCTAGCGACTAATCGACTGGTCGTTCTGGTCATTCTGCCGTTTGTTCACTGGGCTTTTATTACATAGGATTGATTACCAAGGAAGATCCAGGGTGTGAAGTTGGGCTGTGAATCATGAGCTTGATCATTAATTAGATCTAGAGGAGAGGCTTCCTCTGTACAGTTCTAGTCTGTTCTTAGAGGAGGACCTGATAGTTGGTGTGTTCGGCCCTTGCTTTATTTTCTGTGACTGGAGCAAGGTGGCTGATGCTATTCCTAATTGGATAGAAGTATGGGCACCTCAGCCAGGACAGGCTGACAGGGCTGTGGAGGGTCTCATGTCAGGTGTTGGTCATGGGTAACATACAGTGTGCTTCTGAATGCAGTTATCAGGGATGTGCAGCTGTATTTTAGGACCTTTGTGGGGCAGAGAAGCTCTGTTCCCATCTCTACTGGATGGAGCAGTGACTCAGAAACAATTCTTAGATCACTCAGGACTGGTGCAATTAGCACACAGGCATAACTTAACTTGTGATTCTCTTGGCTTAGAGCAGTCATTTTCAATCTTTGTGCCACACGAATTTTTAAAACATGCAATTCCTAACTATTTAGTCAGGGGCACGAATCTTTTCCCTTAGATTGTCAAATGACAACAGCCAACATAACAATAGCTGTCTGGTGTGAATGAATCAAAATCATACCTATTTTTTTGTGTCAAATAGACAATATAATATATTTTTTGGTGTGTTGCAGAATTTAGTTTATGTGTGCCATGAGATGTAAAAGGTTGAAAATCCCTGGTTTAGAGGGATGGATAGAACAGACTCCCCATAGCTGAACTCCCACCTGAGGGTGAGTTAGAGTGGCCTTTAGTGGTGGCCTGTGGGGATCCCAGCATCAATGTGGTTGGTGCCTGTTCTGAGAATATAATTAGAGCAACCAATAAATTTCAAAGTGGAAGGAGGCACATGGCACGGTGGGAAGTAGTCCAAAGGTGTTTCTAGTGATTGAAAGAGAGTGGTTGAAAGAGAATGACACCCTTTGGGAAAAAGTAGTAAAGCAGAGGAAACTTTATAAATTTAGTAAAAGAAATTATAATTTTGTAGAGATTGTGATAAAATAATGCAAGGGGAAAAGAAATAAAATATAATTAGATGGGGGAAAATCACAAATGGGGTCTTTTTATAAGAAGATGAAAATATTAGCTACAAAACATGGGGAACAGTAATTAGACATTATTGATTGAAGAGAATCTATGATATAGGAAAAAAAGGCATCAAGGAGTTACTAAACTCAGATATAAGTATGCTGGTCAGACCCTGAGAGACCTCAAGAGAGGCACAAAAGAGGCAGAATTATAGGATGATTTCCATTCTTCTACTTCCAAGATGGATGGGAAACCAATAACACAGTAGGATGTTAACAAGGATCTCAGTCAGAACTGTACTGCGTTTACTTCTCTCTGGGTTACCCTGAAGTGACTTCCTTTCCCCAGTAATAGAGGCCTTGTGAGGAAAACTGGAATGGATCAAATAAAGAGAACATAGAGGCAGGGCTTCTCAAAGTCTGGTTCTCTTCACTTTGGGTGCTGATGGTCTATGGAGGTGGAGTTTGGGACACATCTGTGCTGCAAGGAATGATGCCCCTTCATGAAGAGGAGGTGTGTGGCTGAAGACCACTTCTGGGTACCGCTCACCTGGCCTGTACTCCTGTACACCCTTGCTCCTCCCAGGGAAGGAAATACATTTGTGTAGTTGCATATGCACTTTGCATTACTTCCCCACTCCGTGGTGTCAGTGCCTGAGGTCAGGGGAAAGGCCTGTACCCAAGTTGGCCAGCGTAAGTGACCTGCCTTTCCCGTCACTGCAGAGTTGGGCCTGTCCAGAGTGGAAATAGAGTAGGGGGTGTAGGTAGCACCTGCTTCCCCTTCCACGAAGACATACAATTCCCCAGGCAGTTGGACCTGGCAGAGAGGATGCCAATCATTTAGAATGTAGTGCAATAAACTCACTCTCTGGAACACAGTCTGACTTGAATCCCACTGTTCTCTCTTTCCCCAGCTTCTTTCAAGCTGGACCACATCTGTTGTCCTTCACACCTGTCCTAGTCTGGGGTCAACAAGACTTTGGCATGCAAAATTCATATCTTCTTCCCCAAAGTCTTCTGCATGTCTTGGTACTACATATGGTGTTTGATACCTGGACCTGGGGAAAGGTCAGAGGTGAGCCCGGAGACGTGTAGGGAGCCACCTTGGTAGAAAGCTCCTTGGGGAAGTTCTCCTTAAGGAAAGCTGCTGGGTAGGAACTCACCTGCAGGATGGAGTTGGGAGGATGCCACCTGTGGATAGTGGGTCCTGAAGAAGCTGGGCGAGTCCTCTCCAGCAGAAGGGCCACGTGACTGGCTGGAGATGCCACAGCTTAGCCTGCCATCAGTCTCAAATCTGGGACTCAGGGAGGCCCAGGGGCTTCCTGAGTTACAGTCTCCCTCTTACTCTTGGTCTGGAGACGACTGTCTTTCTGTGGTGGATTTGACACTTAGGAAAGGTGGTGCCCCTAATGAAAGCTGGAGCTCAGGTCACTGGGACTGTGCAGCAGCCTCGAACAGACTCAGGCTCGAGTCTTGGGCCTGTCCTTTACTAGCTGTGAGATTTTAGCAAGTGAATGTCACTCCTGATCCTGTTTCCTCATCTGCAAACTTGGAGAACAGTGCCTCCATCAGCACTGGACCGTGGTGACACAAGGTGCTTCCCTCCCGTGTCCACGGGGACTGGGGGAGAGCCAGTTCTGCACACAGGGTGTGGACTAGCACGGACTGATGTCTGCTCTTATGTGATGTCCAATGCTGTCCTGGAGGCAGCATATCAGAAATGAAGTGCTCACAGGAGCTCCTGCTGGGCTGAGTGGAGCTCAGGGGACTTTCTTTGGCCAGGTGAGTTCGGTGCTTTAAAGCAGGGATGCTCTCAAATGGAAGGGGCACTACCAGTGGGCAAGAACATTCACAAGGGTAAAGAAAGGCTTGATACTTCCCCTCCATGGCTGAAACTTTCCAGCTTCTCCCTGAGCTAAGCCTTAAGGCTGGGGGGTCTCTCTTTGAGTGACCAGTGGCCTTGATTTTCTGGTATCAAGTAGGTCTTCTCTGTGACCAGCAGGTGGCGCTAAGCCCTCAGTTCTACTGTCACCAGCGGCTTAAGGTCTGAGGGTGGGAGGAAGGTTACTCTGGATGGAGTTGTAAGGATGGTGCCGCTAAGGTATTTCACAGTGGGTCTGGCCCCTCCTCTGGCCTTAAGAACAGCTAATGTAAGTCCCAAGAGCCAGGCTCTGCCCCCAGAAATTCTGGGCTAACTCTGAGTAGCTTCTCATCTCTTTTTTCTTTAAACCAAAAATGGGTCAGCTCAGCAACGCTAGGGGACTGTGTGGTGCAGGGAGGAGGCAGCTTAGAGCTTGGAACTGCAGCAGCAGCAGTTCCTGGCTCTCAGCCTTGCCTCTCGAGTAGCCTGGGACAAACTCTCCCTGATCCAACAAAAGCCCTCTGCAGGCCTCAAACTGCAGCAATAACCCTGGCTTGTCATGTACACCATCCATCCATCCATCATTCATTCATCCAGCACTTACTCAGTGCCAGGCACGGGGCTAAATCAGACATAGTCCCTGATCTCAAGGAGCTGTGGACTTGGGGGAGGGGAGACAGACCTAAAAATTCAAGCAAAGGTAGAATGCCCACAGACACAGATGAAGGGGGAAGGACCATGTCTTTCCAGAGGAATCAGGGAAGGCTTCAAGGAAGCATCATTTGGCCCGAACTTTTATGGATTTCAATAGGCAGACATGAAGCCTGGGCAGTCCAGGCAAAGGGAGTAACATTGGCAAAGGCTCAGAGGTAGGAAGGTGAATGTTATATGCAAAGAGGGGATAATAAGGCAGCCAGGGGAGTGGGAGGGTGCACAGGGTCCTGGCCACTGTGAACTGTAAGGCTGGAAAGAAGGTAAAGCTGAAATGGCTGGCTATGGGTCTAGCCTTGACCCAGAAGGCAATGGGCGCTACCGCAGGTGGTTGACATAGGAGAGTATGATCACAAACCTTTTAATGAGACCACTGGTGGCTGCATCAAAGAGGGACTGAGGGGGTGAGATGGAGATAAGAAGACCAGGTAATACGTGCAGCCACAGCCCCTGAGATTAGTTCAAGGGGCAACTGTGAAGAAAATAAGATCAGGCAGAGAGACGCTCATCACCGAGGGGAAATGCAATAGCACCCTCTCTCTTAACATCTGCTTGGTCAGCTGTCTCATCATGTGGCTGATGCAATAGCAATCACAATAGCTAACATTTATTGAGCACTTATTATGGACCAGATACGAAAGCATTTTACATACGTATATTTTTCACTTCCTCCCACAACAATTCTATGAGGTAGGTACTATTAGTATCCCTACTTTAGAGATGAGGCAACTGAGGCACAGAGAATTTAAGTTACTTGACCAAAGTCTTAGAGCTAGAGCCAGGATTTGAACGCAGGCAGCTGGCATAAAGCTTATGCTCCAATCACTACGCTAATGCACAGGACGTCCCCACCTCTCTCCCTGAGCACCCCAGCTTTGCTACAAGTTCCTGAGAGTGGAGGCAGCGCTATAAGCCTGGTGAGTGTCCAAAGGTTGAAATGGCCAGACAGGTTGGCAGGGCTGGGCTGCCTGAGGCAAAAGGGGAAATGTCTCCTTGAACTGGGGTAGAGGGCCAGTCTCAGGTCTCTTTCCAGGGCTCCTGGACTATACTCCATGGCACCTCTGGAATGTGGGCTGGCAGCCCCAGCCCTACCCTCCCTGTCCACCAGCATGCCTCCTGCTTCCCCAGCAAGAACAGCCCAGAGTTAGAGTCATGAAGGCGGGAGGCTTTATTGACAAGGAGAAGGCAGAATTATGGGTGAGTACACACAACACTGCTCCAAGAGTCCAGGCCTGGGGCCAAGCCCATCAGGGCCAAGGGCCCCTTCACCGCAGGGACCTTGCTCACCCCCACCATCCTGAGCTTTCCAGCATCTCCTTTTCTAGCAACCCCTAGACCCTCCATGGTCACTCTCTGGACAAAGTCAGTGGCAGCCCCTGGTGGGGAGCCAGGACCAGAGTTTGGTCTGAGGCTGAGTGAGTGTGGTGGGTCCAAGACCCCCTTCTCCTCAGCCTCTTTCTGCGTGGCATGCCAGTGTCTGCCCCAGCCCACCCCAGCGTCTGAGGGTGGGGGACAGAATGGGACAAGCAGTCTCAGCAGCCCCAGCCCACGGAGCCCTCACCATAGAAGCCCTGGTGTTGGGGCAAAGGGTAGGGGAGCAGTGCCCATCCCCCCACCCTGTGCCTGAGAGGTCTCAGTGCAGCTGAGCCTTCTCACGCCATTTCCTCCCTGCAGGAGCCTGCCCCGTGGAGGGGAGTCCTGTGAGCCTCAGCCTGCCCCCTGTCAGCCTCAGCCTGCCCCTGTCTGTGCAGGCTCCACACCTCCAATCTTCCTTCGGGAATGAGCTCCCTCACTGACTGCCCTCCCCAGCTGGCCCACTCTTTAGCTCATCACGTTTTCAGGGAGCAAGGGTGGCTGGGGCCTGACCACAGGCACCTCTTGGGGCCACAGAAACACAGCAGCAGGCCCCCAACCTGGGAACTGTTCTTCCCCAGCCATCTGCCCAGCTGTGGCTGGTTGATCATGGGGCTCCAGGAGTAGCTGGAGATCCAGCGTTAGGGCCTGACACTTCCCACAGTTTCCCCAGCCTTGAGTCCGGGAAGGGGCACCAACCAGTCCTGAGTTGGGGCTGGGAGGAGCAGGGACAAAAATAACCCAGGACAGGCTCCTACTGAGACCAGAAATAGGTAGTGACAATGCCTTGTAACACCCTGGGCGAGCGCAGCAGGGGGGAGGCTGAGCTGGGAAGGGCCCGGCCTCACACCAGATCCTGACCTGGCCAACAGGCCCACACCATGTCCACTCTACATATCGTATCACACTGCTCATGTGCACACACATGTGGGGCGAGAGCCCAAGGGACCATGGCTCAGGACAGGGAATCCGGCGAGATGCTAAACCTGGGCTTGGCCTTGGCAATGGCCACGCTGCGCTTCCGCAGTGGCCCACGGGCTGTAGCGAGGGTCAAAGCGTCCAGGAGGCTGCGGTCCTCATCGAGCTGGCGGGCCGTGCAGAGTGGCGTGGGCACTTTGATGGTGTTGCCAAACTTGGAGTAGTCCACGGCGTAGCGGCCATCCTCCTCAGACACAATGGGCACGAAGCGCTGACCCCACAGGATCTCATCGGCCAGGTAGGAGGTGCGGGCTTGGGTGGTGATGCCCGTGGTTTCCACCACACCTTCCAGGATGACAATGATCTCGAGGTCCTGATGGTGGTGCAGGTCGCTGGGCGCCAGGTCGTAGAGTGGGCTGTTGGCGTCAATGACGTGGTAGATGATGAGGGGAGCCACCAGGAAGATGCTGTTGCCGCCCACTCCATTCTCCATGGGGATGTCCACCTGGTGGAGGGGCACCACCTCGCCCTCAGGGCTGGTGGTCTTGCGCACCACCTGCATGTGGATGGTGGCGCTGATGATCATGCTCTTGCGGAGGTCGCCCACGCGCAGCATGAAGCAGAGGCGGCCTTGGCGCAAGGCGATGACCGCGTGCTTGCTGAAGATGAGGGTCTCGGCTCGCCGGTGGGCCTGGGCGGTCTTCATGAAGATGCAGCCCAGCATGATGGCGTTGATCATGAGCCCCACGATGTTCTGCACAATGAGGATCAGGATGGCCAGTGGGCACTCCTCCGTCACCATGCGCCCGCCGAAACCAATGGTCACCTGGACCTCAATGGAGAAAAGGAAGGCGGAGGAAAAAGAGTGGATGCTGGTGACGCAGGGCACCATGGCGTCCTCTCCAGGGGCCAGGTCAACAGGAGCCAGGTCCCCGTGGGCGAAGGCGATGAGCCACCAGACCATGGCGAAGAGCAGCCAGCTGCACAGGAAGGACATGGTGAAGATGAGCAGCGTGTGCGGCCACTTGAGGTCCACGAGGGTGGTGAACACGTCCTGCAGGAAGCGGCCCTGCTCCCGGATGTTCTTGTGGGCCACGTTGCAGTTGCCCTTCTTGGACACGAAGCGGGCCCTCCGCTCTCTGGCCCGATACCGGGGCTCGGCAGGGTCCTCTGCCAGCCGGGTCAGCACGTACTCCTCAGGGATGATGCCCTTGCGGGACAGCATGGCTCCGGCGGCCACCAGGGAGAGGCGTCCCTCATGGGGGTGCCCCCTGACCAGCCTCCGGCCTCGCTGTAGGGTCCCTTCCCTGGGGTCCCTTCCACTCGGGGACCACCCTCAGCCTGTCTGGCCTCACTCCTGAGACGCCTCCCCAACCAGACTCATCCTCGCCTCCATCTGGCCCCTGCTTCACTTTTTACACCCGTCTCACACCTCAGCCCACCTGCCCATCGCCTAGTGAGCCCCCCACCCTACCGGTTCCCCACCTGGATCGCAGCTCAACAATCCCCCACCTACTGGCCACCCCGGGGTGGGGTGTGGGGACCCCTGTCTAAGACCCTGTCTCCCCACCCAGCCTTCCTTCTCACCCACCTCTTCCGCTGTGGCACTTAACACCTCTGGTTATTATCAGCTGACCAGACCTCACCCATTTCTGTCCCCGGGCCCCCTCCAGGCTAGTTCCATACCCTGCCCTCGCCCCAGGCTCACCTGCAGGTATGGCCCCTCTCTCCCACCCCGCCCCCTGCAGCGGTCTGGCCGCTCTCCGCTCTCCGCTCCCCCTCCAGCTATCGTCCTCTCTGTCTCCTTGGGATCCTGCGCCCTCCGGAGTCACAACCCCGCCCGGCGCCGCTCCGATCCCCTCACCCCCGGCAAAGGGCTCGCAGCGGCCCGTCCTCCGTCCGTCCGTCCGTCAGTCCGCGGAGACGACCCGTGCAAGGTCGGGGTAGAAGACTGAGGGCTAGGGGCGCCGGAGGAGTGGAGTGGGGGACCGGGCCCAGGGCCGCCAGGGGGAGCCCGACCTGTTCTCGAACTGGAGCGGGGCGGGCACAGACTCAAGCCCCGCCCCTCGCCGGTCACCTCCCGTTGCCTGCTTTCTCCAGACTCACAGGCTGGCTTTGGGGATTTGTCCCATCGGATGGGCAAGAAGAGGTCCCTCCTGCCCACAGTCTCTGACGTTAGGGCGGGATGGGGGGAAGGAAGTCGTGGCTTGCCCTCCCACTCGGGATGGCAGCTCCTGTCGCCCTGGCTTCCATCCCCCAATTTCCCCATCCTCTGTTGGGTCAATATCCGCCTCTGAGTGCAGCACTGGCTTTGCGGGTTCCCAGAGGAAGGAGGCACCGAGGGGCTGCTTAACCGACCCGGTGACTGGGGGAGATTAGGAGGCCCTGATGACTTCTCAGCTATCTGCTTCTCCTCTTTGGGGGATGTTCTTACCCCTTCTGAGTCACGGATCCTTTGACAATCTGATGAAATCCTCAGTGCCCCTCCCCGGGGGTGGGGGAGGTACCTGAGAAGGTGTAGGAACACAATTTAACAGCCACTACAACGGTGCCCGCCCCGGGGGTGGGGATGGGGGTGGGGGAGGTATCTGAGAAGGTGTAGGAACACAATTTAACAGCCACTACAGGGGATGCTGGATACAGGAGCCTGGGTGGTTGCATCTTTTCAATCATGACTGCCCCACCCCAGCCCTGCATTTCAAGAGGGGTTGATTACTGGCACTTGCTTCACACCTCCTCACACCCAAAGCCTGATTTCTTCTACCTTAGTTAATGGGAGGCACTCGGTCTGTGGGGCTGTATTAGGGCCGACGTGAGCACTGAGGACCCAAGCTCTTGGCCTGGACATGAGTGGTTTCTACTGCTGGCGTTAGCCTAGGCTTGCCCTAAGGCTTGGGCCCCAGATGGGAGGCCCCCAGTTCTTGGCTGAAAGGGAAAGGCTGCTTGGTCTCTATTGTGGCAGTACTAGCCCCACTCCCTTTCTGGGGCTCAGGACCTTATGGAGGAACCCCTGACCCATGTGTGTTCATTGGTTGGAGTGGGGGCTTGAGGCAGAGGCTGGGAAGTTAAGGACAGTGGGTTTGTGGGCCTCAGTAGGGCCAGGTGTGGCTTTCATATTGAGTTTTCCTCTTTCTCTCCCATACCCATCAGCAGACAGAACACTATACTTAGAATAAGCATGATCTTGGGCTGAGGTACAGTGTCTATGGCGGAGAGGGGAAAACAGAATGAGCAGAGTGGGAAGCTCAAGGAGACAGGATTACACAGGAAACCTCTGGAGCAACTACAGCTGTTCAGTCATCAGAAAAGGTGACTTGAAAATCACTGCCCTCCCTCGAGAGTTTGGGCACGACTGCGGAAACCCTTGAGGTCCAAGAAGGATGGACTAGTAGTGTTGTGTGACCCCAAGTGTAGACCCAGTATAGACACTGAGTGGAACAGAGGCAGTCTTCGATTTCATGCAGCGAAGAGTCAGTTCTAATAGCCAGAGATGACCCACGTCTGTAGGGTATCCAAGTCAAGGTTGGCAGATCATTAGGGATGCTATAGAGGGGTTTGGGCCAGGATTGCCTTGGGCATTCCTGCAAGACTTCAGTGTGGACCTTGCCCTTGCTACTTCAATTCCTTGGGGGTAGGGTGGGCAGAGGAGGATGGAGATCCTCTTCTCCTAGGCTCTGCTCCTGGGAGGTCCCGTAGTGGAGGGAGCTCCTGGGGCCCCAGAAGCATCTCAGAGCTGGAAAGGCTAGGCCCTACCTCACAGTGTGGCCCTGAGGCCTCAGCTATTTCCTGCTCTACCCTTTCCAGAAGGATGAGCCCACTATCCAAAGAGCTCAGCCTCCTGCCCTGCTTCATCCTGTACCTCCTCATACTCATCTCCCTCAAGTCTCTCTCTTCTTACTCAGAAAACTCCATTTCCCTTTTGGTCATAGGCTTATCCCAGACTTCTTGTCCTGGCATTTAAGGCTGTCTGAATTTATGTCACCCATCCACCACTAAATGGGCCATTTTTATCCAACTCTGCCTAAAAAACTCCTATCCCTCCCATGCCCAACTCAAATCCTGCCTTTTCCAGGCAGCCTTAAAGGACTCCCCCTCTCTGAGCGCCCGTGGCTCCTAGAATATCCAGAAAGGTTTGTGTTGGGCCCCTCTCCAGTGACTGGTGGGTTTGACTTATGTTGTATGGCTCTGACCCCCTTGCAAACAAGATGAATGCAGGCCCAAGGCTCCTGGGTCTGCACCCCCAGGGCCTGGTATGGCCAGTACTGAAGGCAACATGTAAATGATAATAAAATGATATGCAAATGAGCACCTGCCATTTCTTGGCTGAGGGCAGGTATGCTCTCCTGTTTCAAGATGCAGATGGAGTCTGAGGACAGTTGTTTTGGCCGCCCCTGTCTGGGCCCCAGCATCTCCCAGCCATTACCTGGCTGACTTGTCGCATGCACTGTGCTCTCCCTCTGGAGGGCCAGCATCTCCTACTTCTGAATGCTCCTGCATGGAGAATGGAGATGGGAACATGTGGTCCAGACCTAGCCAGTTTGTTCCAATCCTCTGACCACATGACTAGGGGCAGGCATGTGACCCAAGTTGGTCAATTGAGATTTGCTCTCAAGATTTTTGTTGGAACTAGTAGGAGAAAGCATCTCTTTTTCAGAGGGGTAGGGTGTAAGCTGGAGCTGCTAGTGACCATCTGTCACTGGGGAGGGAGAGGAAGATGGAACCAGAAATACAGACACATCCTGAGGTCAAACACCTGGATCCAGCATGCTTAAAATAGCACACCTCCTGCCCTTCTCAGTCATATATGATAATAACTCTAGTTTTTGTTTAAGCCACATGGGGTTCCTGCCATTTGCAGGGGAAATAGTGCTAATCCAAGGTACTTGGGGTCCCACAATTTCAGTTCAGGAATTAAAGTGAGAAGGAAGGGGACCAAGCTATAAGGAGATCTGCTACCTTACCTGATGAGATAATCACGAAATGCTATAGCTCTTGTTATGTGTTGCCCCATATGTTGAAGGCCCCCCTCCCCCAATGTGACTGTATTTGGAGATAGGTCCTGAGAAGAGGTAATTAGGTTAAATGAAGTCATAGGAGCGGGGCCCTAATCCAAAAGGACTGGCATCCTAACAAGAAAAGAGAGAGACACCACAGATGTGCATACAGAGGAATGGCCATGTGAGGACATTAGCTGGACAGTAGCTGTCTGCAACCAAGGAGAGAGGCCTCAGGAGGAGTCAAATCTGCGATATCTTGATCTTGGACTTCCAGCCTCCTGAACTGTCAGAAATAAATTTCTGTTGTTTAAGCCAGACAGTCTTTGCTAGTTTGTGATGGCAGCCCTAGGACGCTAATACAACCCTCATTTTGCAGACAAGGAAAGCCGCTTTGCCCGAGCTCACACAGCTTCTTCAGGTCTGCTTGATGCCAAAATCATGCTGGCTCCACAGTCCACCCAGCCCCTGCCCACCAGATCCATGGCCTCTCGTAAGAAATAATCAATCTCTTTATTTACAAGTGATTTACAGTTAGAAAACCCAGGTGGGAGGTGGGGCCAGGATGGGGCATGGGATGGCACTTGGGCTCCGGGAGGTCACTTGTCTGCACGGACGAAGGAGGCGAAGACGCTGTCCTTCCGGCTGAGCAGCTTCTCCGGCGTGTCGAACTCGAGGATGGCGCCACGCTTCAGGACGATCACCAGGTCTGCACTCAGGATGGTGTGCACACGGTGCTGAATGGAGCAGGAGGGGGCTGGTCAGGGTGGTGGGGGAAGGCCGGGGCAGCCGATGGCATCCTTCCTGCAGCTTGGAGGCGGAGGAGGCATGGGGCCAGAATGTCCTGGCTCTGCGGTGACTGCCCTTTCCTGAGGTGGCTGTGATTCCAAGCCTCCCATTCACTCATGACATCCTCTCCCTTCACCAGGTCTCAGCTTTGCCCCAGACTTCAGGCTTCACGTCTCAGAGACCCCCACCCCCCATTTCCTATGGAGATGTAACCCTAGCCTAGCTCACTGGGCCTTGGGAAGAGGTGAGGAGGGGGGCTTGGAACTTGAAGAAAGAGAGGGGAGGTCTGAGGATAGCAGGTATAAATCCTCCCCACTCCAAATCCTGCCACCCAGGGTCCCTGCCAGCCTTCTAGACTCCTTACCCTGCCCTGCCCTGCCCCAGGGTCCCCTCTTGATTACCGGGTCCCAGTGAGCCCAAGGGCTGCTCTTTCAGTGGGTGTCCACCCGGCACCCCCTCAACGGGCCCCTTACCGCAATGGTGACCACGGTACGGTCTGCGAAGGCCGTCATCACCACCTTCTGGAGGATGTTTTCCTGCCAGGTTGGAGCAGCAGCTGTTGGCTCACCTGCCCAGTGGTTGTGGTCTGGCCTAGCTTTGGGCATGTGGGGCCCAGGGTTGTGGCCCAGCTCCCATCAGACCCCAATCTTAGCCCCACCTCCTCCCTCTGTCTGGCCCTAGTCCACATAGGACCGACCGGGTTCCTAGCATTCAAGGAGCTCAGCTCTGTGCTTGTGTGTGTGCTGTGAGCTTATGTGGGGTGTGCTGTGGTGGGGGACAGGTGTGAAGTTGCCGTGGATCTGCGTGCAGCTTGTGTGTATGTGGATTATGAACATGCCCGAGGACTAGCTGGAGTCAGGGTCCCCAGCCCTTTGCCTTTTCTGCCACAAATGGCCTTGATGTTCAAGGCAACATCTTGGACATCAGGGCTACTTTGTGCAAATTTTCCCTAACCCACCCACTCTCTCCAAGCCCCCGACCCCATGGATGTGCCCAGGACCAACCGTGGCCATGTCGATGGAAGCCGTGGCCTCATCCATGATGAAGATGCTGGTCTTCCTCACAAAGGCCCGCGCCAGGCAG